TATAATACATTGTTCAATAATTCAGTACTTTTCCATCTGTCTGAGTTGGAGAGGTACACATGTACCTTGCCCCTGTTTTAGTCCCATCCCTCCATCCCCTCCTCTGTCATCTTTCATGTTGACCTCTGTTGGGCAGAGGTGGACAGAGTCTCACTAAATTACAGATTTAGGTGCTGTTTCATAAGGGGCGCATGAACCACTTGAAAAGCCCCTAAGGAAGTAATAAATTACTAAAGGGATGAGAAGAAGCTCGATGGGGGGGGTGGTGAGAGAGGTGAGGGCCGACAGAGAAATGTAAAAAGGATTGAGGTTGAGCCTAAAGGGAAGGGCGGCTGGATGCTATCAGGAGTCTATCTGACTCTAATCAACAGGACAGCTGCTTATCATTGCTGCTGAGGAGGAACAAAGGAAATGGATTGAAGCAGAATTTAGATCAGGAGGAGGTTGCCTAAAATTAGTGAAATTGACCCTGGAGCAGGGTAATAGGAGAGCCTTCCTCTTAGGCACTATTGAAAGTTCCTAACAGGGACTCTTGCATCCAAGATAAGAGCTAAACTGGTTTAGTTGTACCCTGTTCAGAAGCAGAGGAGTGAAATCCCAGAGCAGAGAAACACGATCTGGGTCGTATGAATCTGAACACAAATGTTCAAAGGCAAGGATTTCCCAAGTCCAAATTTGGCACAAATGAAAAAGAACTTGGGTGCTGGGTGGAACTGGTTTTTTTCCATTGTTGACCTGGCAGAACTTTCTTATCTGAGCAGCTGAGCAGGTTTGATGCTTTTATGAAGCAAGATAGAAGCAAAAATATGGGCCAGCATGAGGGTGATGATCACAGAAAAACAAAAGGTGTGGTATTTGTGGAAATAGTACTATGCTTAATGGAATCAGAGGGGAGACGGGAGGGAGGGAAAGAGAGGACCGGGCAGACGTTAGCCGCTACACATACAAGTGGCTTCAGCTGCCCAATAATTCAGATTACTTCAAATGCCCTTTAGGTGCCCTGTGAAAAAGAAACTGAAGTGGATAAAGACAACCTGACTGACTAGAGTCTTGAGTCCTAGTAATAATGTACTTTCAATTGGAAAAACTTACTCTATTCTGAGAAAATAAATTGATCTTTGTTCCTCCCCAGCACTTCCTGGTTAGAAATACCAGAATAAATTTGCTGTGATTCTTCTTTTGGGAGGAACCTGAGAGTTATGTTGGGGAACTGGGTGCAAGTAGGAGAGCTGGGCCTGTTTAATTCCAGGCCAGTGACTCACATCTAGTCCGCTGCATGACCCTGGTATATACCCAGTGAAATGTAGCATACCTAGGCCACATGATTTTAGCTACCAGGAGGAAGGGGGCTCTTGTTTCTAAATTGCTTCTTTTGGCCAGCAGTGGCCTCTCTCTGATTCAGAAAGAAAAACTCTGACTCACAGGCCATGTAACTAGGCCCCCTTCCTAGGCTGCAGTGTTGCCTTGTAGAGAATTCTCCCTGCCCCCAGACTGTGGCTCTGGTTGTACAAAATCCAGTCTACAGACATCAAGGTCAGAGCAATGCTTTTTGTACTGTGCTATGGAAACATCCTGTTCCATCAGATTCATTTGGCCCAAAGCACCTAAATCGTTTCTTATTTTCTCTGCCTTCCCATCATCCTATCACATCCGTCCGGCCCCCTCACCCCCGCCGCCCCCACCAAAAATAAACTCTTTTAGTCCAGGCTCAACCATAAGTTCTGTTCTAAGCATCCCATCTTGATTGATGCCTGGGTTGAGTCCTGCCTCCTCCCCCTAACAAGGAAGCACACCTCCCTGTTTACAGTTCGCTGACAGTTCCTGGTTATCCATTCAGGAAATGTCAATGACCTTTTTGTGATAGGCTTAGAATCTGTTTTTCTAGTGTAAACATAATACGTTTTACCTTCCCCATGACCGTTTCTCTTCCTTCCGCAACTGCTGCACCCTGGAGTCATGTTCTCCCTGATACTTCAGTGTCTGACTGAATAGAACCCTACTGCAGTGAGAAGTACTTTTGTCCAGGCTTCCTGGGTTCTTCTTGTGAGCTCCTGGTGATAAGATAATTCGGTCTTATAATTTTTGTATCCCCCACAGTGCCTCCTATAATGCCTTGTGTTTTGGCAAAGTAAATTTTGTTTGTAGGAGGTGAAGGAGAAGACCTTTGAGATCACAGGGAGAGTGAGGTCTGGCTAGACTTCAGAAAGCCCTGACATTCTGAAGGGGAAGGGCCTATTGGTTAAGGTGAGAAAGGGTATAAAAGCAGGCTGGCTAGAATTAAAAGCAAAACCAAACCAAGCCATTAGCAAGAGAGGCCTTAGGAGAGAGAACCGACTATCTCTGAAATGTGATCGACTGTCTCTGAAATGTGATCAGAAGACAGTCTTCAGGGCAGATCGAGCTTAAGAGCTATTGTTTGACATGTAGTAACAAAGCCTTGCTTTTGTTTTTCCCTGAACTTATCTTTCCTTGGGGGCATCAGTCCTCTTTGATATTGCTTGTCTTTTATAAGAGCATTTTTGATACCCTTTATACCGAAAGGTCTAGCAGCAGAATTGCTGCAAACAGCGTCAACTGGAGCCTCCAGTGTCCTGTCCTTTGTTAAAATCCCATAATGAGTAATTTATCATCCGCAGGGTGGCCGCCCTTTACTGTTCACTCTGTACTGAGTCCGCCCACTCCCTGCCCCCCACCCCCGGCCCCCGCCCCGCTTTTGCTTACACGCTCACTGCCATTCTCCCAGACTTGGCAGGAACACTTGGATTCTATGTGTGCACCTGTTAGTGTGAATGTATGTTTTCCCTACCTTCTTTGTGAATTTTCAGGATTTTCATCTGTTAAGTATTTTTGTCTCTTTTTCCCCCTTTGCTCTTCCTGAGGACGTCGTCAGCCAGGACCCTATTCTAGATTTTTATTTGAACAACTCCATTTGGCCATTTTTTTTTTCCATGAGAGTAAAAGTCTGAAGAGGCCTCATCTGCTGAGACTGCTTCCCTCCTGGTCCCAGGGTCTAACTTGTTTTGGTTTGGGCAGTTTTGTTTTAATCCAATGAGGGTAGTAGACCTAGACCAGAATACAACTTAAGGTGCAAGGACAGGAGAACCTATGAAGGCCTGCCTGGCTTGGCCCCAAGTTTCCTCTATTAGAACACTCCTGAGACCAGTTGAGTGGGGACAAGGAAGCTTTCTCTTCTCTTGTAATCTCCACAGGGTTCCTGGAGGCAGAACTGGATTCCCAGGGAGTTAGCAGAACATACAGAGGAGGCACAAAAGCATTGCCACAGGATACATATTCCTCGCCCATGCCAGCCTCATAGCTCATGGTTGAATTTGACTTCTTGCTTTACTGAGAGTTACAGAAATAAGAAAGTCAAATATTGGCCGGGCGCGGTGGCTCAAGCCTGTAATCCCAGCACTTTGGGAGGCCGAGACGGGTGGATCACGAGGTCAGGAGATCGAGACCATCCTGGTCTAACCCGGTGAAACGCCCGCGCTCTACTAAAAAATACAGAAAACTTTAGGCCGGGCGAGGTGGGGGGGCGGGGCGGCCTGTAAGTCCAGCTACTCGGAGGCTGAGCAAGGAGAATGAGCGTGAACCCGGGAGGCGGAGCATTGCAGGTGAGCTGGGATCCGGCACTGCACTCCAGCCTGGGGCGGCAGAGCGAGAACTCCGTCTCAAAAAAAAAAAAAAAAAAGAAAAAGTCAATATCTTTTTTTCCTATGAGATGGCTTCTGAAAGAAGAGGACCCTTTCTCCATCCCACCACACACTCACCCTTTCTGTCGGTAGACTCAAGGAGGGCAGCCCGGCCGCTACGGACTCTTTTTGTTCACAAATCCTGTTTTGTTAGTGTTATCAGAAAGTCCTGGGCCTTCATTTTTGCCTGTCCCTCTATGCTTGAGCGGATTTTGTGTTTTGTGGGCCCTGGTAGCCTTGGGGATGGGGCTGCAGTCTAGAAGCAATGATAAAGTTAGGAAATGGGAAGTGGTCGACCGCTTCTGAGTTCCCGAAAGTACCCCCTCGACTACAAGCTGAACACTGAAACTACTGGGATCTGAGCCAGGGCTAGAGGAGGCTTCTGGATGGGTGGGCTCTGCCTTTCCTCTTCTGGAATGCTGGGATCACAGGGTGTTCCTGACTCTCTCTTCCCCTGTCTTCTTTTGGAGACTTTTTTTTTTTTTTTTTTTTGTGGTGGGAGCGGGGCGGAGGGACAGAGTCTTGCTCTGTTGCCCAGGCTGGAGTGCAGTGGTGTGATTTTGGCTCACTGCAGCCTCTGCCTCCCAGGTTCAAGATATTCTCATGCCTCAGCCTCCTGAATAGCTGGGATTACAGGCATGCATTACCACGCCCGGCTAATTTTTGTATTTTTAGTAGAGATGGGGTTTCACCATGTTGGCCAGACTGGTGTTGAACTCCTGGCCTCAAGTGAGCTGCCTGCCTCAGCCTTCTAAAGTGCTGGGATTAAAGAGGCTGTACCTGGCCTCTCTTTGGAGACTTCTAATGTCTCCAAAATATTCCAAATATTTCCCTTCCTTCCTGGAATTAGGAAGTAGCATCAGATGGGGGGGGGTTCTGGCCGGGTGCGGTGGCTCAAGCCTGTAATCCCCAGCACTTTGGGAGGCCGAGACGGGTGGATCACGAGGTCAGGAGATCGAGACCATCCTGGCTAACACGGTGAAACCCTGTCTCTACTAAAAAATACAAAAAAACTAGCTGGGCGAGGTGGCGGGCGCCTGTAGTCCCAGCTACTCCGGAGGCTGAGGCAGGAGAATGGCGTAAACCCGGGAGGCAGAGCTTGCAGTGAGCTGAGATCCGGCCACTGCACCCCAGCCTGGGTGACAGAGCGAGACTCTGTCTCAAAAAAAAAAAAGGATGGGGGGGTTCTATCTGAGCTTAGTTTATATGCTATTGTTTCACCTTTTCTGCCTCCTCCCCCTCCCATGAACAGCCTGCCGTGCTAACTGCATTATACTTCTCTTTCTTCCTGTTTCTCTCCCGCAGGAGAGGGCTGAATCCCCCTCATCGTGTCAAGTCAATCTCCATGACAACTTTCACTGAGCCTGAAGTAGTATTCCTGCAATCCCGTGGAAATGAGGTGAGCTGCCACCGATGGAGTGGTGAGAAGGTCGCCCTATCTGCAGGTGGGGCTTTGTCTCAAGATTGTAGGGAAACCTTATGGTTTCATTTTTGGTTGAGTTTCTCTGAATTTTTTCATATGTATGATTTCTTTCCTTAGGTATATTTGTATATTTACAGAATCTTTATTCTGTTATACAAATCGTGGTTTGTCTAAGCTCCTTTTTCAGGAGTCAGGGGAAGTAGCAATATCTTTGTAGGATGTGGCACCTGAGCAATGGAGGGGTAGAATGATCAGAGCTCCAGAGCATGAGCATTCAGAGTTGACTGGGCCAGCCTCTCTGAGGAAGCTTTCCTGGAGCCAGCTCTGCTGCCTTAAGCCTTGACCACCTGGGTTTAAGTGCATATCTTTTACTTGAAAGTGACTTGTAAACCCCTTCCCTAGCTAAATCTGACAATCAGAAGTTGCTATCCTTGGCGTTAGCAGTACCCCTAGCTTATGGGTGATTGGTTTACTTAGAGGGTGTCCTCAAGGGCCTCTGCAGGTGTCCTGGAAGCCAGAGCTCTGAAAATTGTCCCAGACCCTACCCTTATCGAAATTTAATTCTCCATAATTCTTATGGCCCTCTATTTTCCTTTTTCAATACATGTCACAAAATGTGATTATAACTTTAGTTTTATTTATCTAAGACATGACCGCCCCATTGGATTATAAACTCTGCAAGGACAGGAATCATATCTGGTTTGTAGATAGACTCAGATCCTAGCACTGTATTTTTATTTATAATACAGGAGGCAGGAGAATTGCTTAAACCCCGGAGGTGGAGGTTGCAGTGAGCCGAGATCGTGCCACTGCACTCCAGCCTGGCGACAGAGTGAGAATCCATCTCAAAAAAAAAAAAAAAGGAAGTGGTATCTTTTATATTTCCTGCTTTCTGCTCCCACTCCTCTGACACCTTCATTCTTTTAGGTTTGCCGGAAGATTTGGCTGGGTCTATTTGATGCTCGGACATCTTTAGTACCAGATTCCAGGGATCCTCAGAAAGTGAAGGAGTTTCTCCAGGAAAAATATGAGAAGAAGAGATGGTAAGGAGTAGGAAAGAGGTTGCTATGGAAACGTGTTCAAGACATTCTGCATCTGACAGTCCAGTTTCTAGAGTTGAATTTGACCTTCTCACAAAGGCTAGACTTGGGTTGAGTCTGTTCCACTCCCATTCAGTTACAGATAAAATAAATCTACATGAAAGGACAACTTGTTCTCAGTCACTAACCCTGCAGATTTTATGTCCTCTCTTTTGGAGAGATAATAGACTGATTAGAGTTGGGAGGTAGGCCTGTGGGTGTTCATTTTTATAGCTCAGCTGATCTTGTATATGGAGAGAGATGGCAGGAAGCACACAGCCTATAGTTTTACTCCTTTAACCCATCATTTCATGATTTTTTTTTTTTTTTTTTTGAGACCAGGTCTCACTCTGTTGCCCAGGTTAGAGTGCAGTGCCACAGTCACAGCTTACTGCAGCCTCAGCTTCTTGGGGCTCAGGTGATCCTCCTACCTCATCCTCCCCAGTAACTGGTACTACAGGTGTGTGCCACCATGCCTGGCTAATTTTTATATTTTTTGTAGAAATGGGGTTTCACCATGTTGCCCAGGCTAGTCTCAAACTCCTGGGCTCAAGTGATCTGCCCGCCTTGGCCTCCCAAAGTGCTGGGATTACAGGCGTGAGCCACCACGCCCAGCCTTGTTTCATGATTTATATGTACAGCCAGCCCTCTGTATCTGTAGATTCTGCATCCATGGATCCAATCAACCTCACATCAAAAATATTTGGGAAAACAGGCCATGCACAGTGGCTCACTCCTGTAATCCCAGCACTTTGGGAGGCTGAGGTGAGCAGACCACTTGAGGTCAGGAGTTCGAGACCAGCCTGGCCAACATGGTGAAACCCCGTCCCTACTAAAAATTAAAAAAAAAAATTAGCTGAGTGTGGTGGTGGACACCTGTAATCCCAGCTACTCTCGAGGCTGAGGCAGGAAAATCGCTTGAACCCAGGAGGCGGAGGTTGCAGTGAGCTGAGATTGTGCCATTGCACTCCACCCTGGGCAAAGAGACTCTGTCTCAAAAAAAAAAAAAAAAAAAAGGCTGGGGGCTGGGGGGAACACAAAAAATAACAATACAACAATAAAAAATAATACAAATAAGGCCAGGCACGGTGGCTCATGCCTGTAATCCCAGCACTTTGGGAGGCCGAGGCGGGTATATCACAGGGTCAGGAGTTCAAGACTAGCCTGGCCAACATGGTGAAACCCCATCTCTACTAAAAATACAAAAAATTAGCCAGGCGTGGTGGTGGCCACCTGTAATCCCAGCTACTCAGGAGGCTGAGGCAGAGAACTGCTTGAACCCGGGAGGTGGAGGTTGCAGTGAGCCAAGATCGTTCCACTGTACTCCAGCCTGGGCGACAGAGTGAGACTCTGTCTCAAAAATAGTAATAATAATAATACAAATAAAAAGCAATACAATATAGCAACTATTTGCATGTCATTTACATTGTAAATGATTTAAAGTATATTAGAGGAGGTACATGTTTGATATGCAAATACTTCACCATTTTATATAAGAGACTTGAGCATCCTGTCCTCTGATTATGGAATTGTCGGGAGATCGTGGAACCAGTTCCCTGGGAATACCATGGGACAACTATATTTTGTCTTTCTGATGAAGGAAACAGCATCTCCATTCTCCCTTACCTTTCCTCTCCCCTGGTATCACTTCTTGTGGGATCTCCGGGGTGTGTACATGTTGGGAGGTAACTGTGAGGTAGAGAAGAGAATGCAGAGAACAAAGAGATTGATGTGGATAAGACCACACTGTGGAGTCCCTCCTAGGGATGTCCTCAGGATTAAGGTGACACTTACCGAGTAGGGGCCACCTACACTGTAGTGGAAGGGAATTGTCTCGGCAGTAGCAGGAGCTGGCAGGATAGAAGTGTGGATTGTCAGCACCTAGAGGATGAGGTGGCAGGCAGCTTTTCTGTGGAACTGAGAAGAAGGAGTCTGAAGAAACACCCAGGAAATAAAAGAGGGGGACCTTTGCCAGGTGCGGTCGCTCACCCTGTAATTCCAGAACTTTGGAGACTAAGGCAGGAGGATCACTTGAGGCCAAGAGGTTGAGACCAGCCTGGGCAACATAGCAAGACCTCATCTCTACAAATAATTAAAAAATTAGCCAGGCATGGTAGCGTGTACTTGTGGTCCCAGCTATTTGGGAGGCTGAGGCAGGAGGATCACTTGAGCCTGGGTGGTTAAGGCTACGATGAGCCAACATTGCCCCACTGCACTCCAGCCTGGGTGACAGAGCGAGACCCTGTCTCAAAAAAACCAAAAGATGTTCAAGGGGATGCTCAAGATAGGCAGAACTTTGCTAAGTTGCTTGGTTGCCTTCATAAAAGGGAATTAGTAGAGAAAAATGAGCATAGATTTTGACTCCTGTAACCTGTGTCTTCCCAAACACCTAAGCTGAGCATGGTCCAAAGTTTTATCCCTCTCTTTACAGCCTAACTATTCTTTCTCAAAGGTATGTCCCCCCAGACCAAGTCAAGGGGCCCGCTTATACCAAAGGCAGTGCCTCCACCCCTGTGCAGGGCTCCATCCCAGAAGGAAAGCCCCTTCGGACACTTCTGGGTGATCCTGCACCGTCTCTCTCAGTTGCTGCCTCCACCTCGAGCCAGGTAACTCTCAGATCTGCTCGTCATGTTTCTGTTGAGATTTGGGAGACAGGAGTGTCAGTTTCTTGAATCAGATTCCCCGGACTTAGCAGACAACAATGCAGGAGCTGTGAGTTGGTTCTCGGTCCTGCTGTTAACCCGTATCTTGTATTTGTCACTTCTGGACCTCCTATCTTTTGGAAGTCAGAACCCAACAGGAAGTGGTATTTAGGGAAGTCAGAATATCAGCTCCAAACCTGAGCATTCCATCAAAGAAACACAGAAGGGGCTGGGATATGGTGTCCAATACCTGGGAAAGTTGAGGAGTAACAGCCGTGGGGGCAGTGTTGGGCAACATTCCTGTATATCTCAGGGTTACCTTGGCTCATGTGCTGTAAAATGTGTGGTTCTTGGAGCAGGTGTACTGAGAAGACGATGATATGAGCTGTAAGAGGGGCCAAGGCAGCTGCTGCCCAGGAAACTTAGGTTGAGGGCAGTTACTCACTGTCTTCTCTCTCCACCTGCCTATCTGAGGGCAACTTGGGGAGCCAGAGGAGGGCCTGAGGCATGTCTGGGATTCTAAGGGCTGTATGCAATTCCTTCTCCTCCAAGCCCGTCAGTCAGTCTCACGCTCGGACATCCCAGGCCCGGAGCACTCAGCCACCTCCCCACTCCTCTGTCAAAAAAGCCAGTACTGACCTGCTGGCTGACATTGGTGGAGACCCCTTTGCTGCACCCCAGACGGCACCAGCTTTTGCTGCATTCCCTGCCTTTGGGGGTAAGTGAGTTTTGGTATGGGACCCTCCCTACATCATATATACTTACAACATGAGAGATACAATCCCTGGAGGTGACCGTGGCTCTAGGTCTTCTCATGCAAACAAATGTGAAGGTCACTCTGAAGCAGCAAGGCTGGGAGGATTGGGGTCAAATAAGTACAGCCAGGATTATGTTTGGGAGTTTGATCCTAAAACATTACAGTTGAGGGCTCCTAGCACTTCCTTTTAGAACACTGGAAATAGCCTTTTTTACTGTTTTCTCTCTCTCTTAAAATGGTAGGACGGGGATTATCATGTGTTCCATTTCACCAAAGATTATTCTTCCCCCAAATCAGCAATAGCCAGTAGAGGGTTGAGTAGCGTAGAATCTGTTTTCCTTTTTTAAAAATTTTCAAGCCGGACACAGTGGCTCACACCTGTAATCCTAGCATTTGAGAGGCCGAGGCAGGCGGATCACCTGAGGTCAGGAGTTCAAGACCAGCCAGGCCAACATGGTGAAACCCCATCTCTACTAAAAAAATACAAAAAACTAGCCGGGCGTGGTGGCGGGCGCCTGTAGTCCCAGCTACTCGGAGGCTGAGGCAGGAGAATGGCGTGAACCTGGGAGGCGGAGCTTGCAGTGAGCCGAGATCACGCCACTGCACTCCAGCCTGGGTGACACAGCGAGACTCCGTCTCAAACAAAAAAAAAAAGAAAAAAGAAAAAATTAGCCAAGTGTGGTGGCACGTGCCTGTGGTCCCAGCTACTCGGGAGGCTGAGGCAGGAGAATTGTTTGAACCTGGGAGGCGGAGGTTGCAGTGAGCTGCAATCGCACCACTGCACTTCAGCCTGGGTGACAGAGTGAGACTCCGTCTCAAAAAAAAAAAAAAAAAATTCAAGCTCCTTCCTCCATGAAAAAAAATTTTCATGCCCCAAACTAGGCCCTGACAAAAATGTTAATGCCTCATGGAGTAAGGATAGAAGAGGGCAGGGAGTGAACCTGGAGGCCCTGGGTGCCCCTGTCCCCCTGTGTGGGTCTGGCTCTTGGCCCCAGGCCCCACCCATTTCCCTCTGAAGAGGACCCTGTGGAAAGGCAGATGTCCTATAAGAGTGGCCTTTGGCCTTTAGAATTAGTAGATATATTACATAGATAGGCATATACATTTTCTTTTCTTCTTCTGTTTTTGTTTTGTTTTTGTTTTTGTTTTGAGTCAGAGTCTCATTCTGTCACCCAGGCTAGAGTAGAGTGGCACAATCTCGGCTCACTGCAACCTCCACCTCCCAGGTTTAAGCAATTCTCATGCCTCAGCCTCCCAGGTAGCTGGGATTACAGGCACGTACCACCACGGCCAGCTAATTTTTATATTTTTAGTAGAGAGAGGGTTTTACCATGTTGGCCAGGCTGGTCTTGAACGTCTGACCTCAACTGATCTGCCCGCCTCGGCCTCCCAAAGTGCTGGGATTACAGGCGTGAGCTACCACACCCGACAATTTTCTGTATAACCTTTATGTTTCTTCCACCTACAGGTCAGACACCTTCCCACGGGGGCTTTGCCAACTTTGATGCCTTCAGCAGTGGCCCCAGCCCTTCTGTGTTCGGAAGCCTCCCTCCAGCTGGTCAAGCTCCGTTCCAGGCCCAGCCAACTCCTGCGGGTAAACTCTGCCCCACTGGCTTCCTTTCTCTTCCAACCGTGTCCATTTGTTCATGTCCATAAATCAGCCTTCATTCATATCCTCACTATCCTAAAGAGCAAAGCAGCAAAGCACAAAGAGAAGCAGCTCCAGGAGAGGATGAGCGTGTCTGACACATTCTTGTCAGGGAGAGGGGGCTCTACTGTTCTGCTTTTTCATGAAAGGAAAAATGACTAAGATTGCAGCAGGAGCTGTGTGGGTTATACACTAGGAAACTTTTCACTAGGAAGTATGGAAGACCTGAGTCCTAAACGGATGTGACCTTTTTCTCTAAGGTGCTCTTGTCTGCATAGTACACTGTCCCAAAGGGTCAAGGGTCAAGGTAGTCTCCAGAAGTCCTCATCCATCCCACTAAGACCAAAGGCCTGTAAACTCTACGTTGCTGCCAGCCACAATGGCTCATGCCTGTAATCCTAATACTCTGGGAGGCTGAGGTGGGAGGACCACTTGAACCCAGGAGTGTGAGGCTGCAGTGAGGGATTACTGTGCCACTGCACTCCAGCCTGGGTGACAGAGTGAGACCCTGTCTCAAAACAAATAAACATACAAAACCAAAAAACTATGCTATTTAGCCATTGCAAGAGACTCTTAAGGCCTTCTTAAAGCATTCTGCTCCTTCCTAAGCTCTAGATGTCGAGTCTTCATAGCCTTTGGGTGCCTTCTGACTTTGGACATCCTGGACAATGGGAGGGCAGCTGCAGTGCTCGCTGTCAGGCCCAGATGTCTGGGGAAAAGCCAGTGACATACACTCTTTCTTTTTCCCTTCCTCTACCCATCCTTCTCTTCTCCACCCTCACTGCCAGCCAGTCGGATGCTAACTGAAAGTTACAGCTTTGGTAAGTTATTCTCCCCACCCCAGAGCCTACCCAACCGCCTCTGATCATAGAGTTTTGAGGGCTGGAAAGAACCCTTAAAATTTGGTCATTTGACAGATAAGGCAGTTAAGCAATTTCCCTAGTCATGCAGGCCACAGAGTGACCAAGCTGAGACCAGAGCCCAGACTTCTTGACTCATGCTCTGCCCACAGCCTTCTCACTGTGCCACTGTGAGCTGATTAGCTGCTTTTGTTTCTATTTTATCATTTTGGAGGGCGACAAGAAGAAACACATATTGATAAAAGTTGGCTGGGTATGGTGGTTCACACCTGTGATCCCAGCACTTTGGGAGGTCCAGGTGGGCAGATCACCTGAGGTCAGGAGTTTGAGATCAGCCTGGCCAACATGGTGAAACACCATCTCTACTCAAAATACAAAAATTAGCTGGGCGTGGTGGCAGGCACCTGTAATCCCAGCTACTCGGGGGACTGAGGCAGGAGAATCACTTGAACCTGGGAGGCAGAGGCTGCGGCGAGCCGAGTTCGTGCCACTGCACTCCAACCCGAGTGGCAGAGTAAGACTCTGTCTCAAAAAAAAAAAAAAAAAAAAAGTTCACAAAGAGGTTCTCAAAACCATGTACTTAAAATAACTGACCTCATACCGGTGAGATTCACGAAGCAAAAACTATTAGACACAATCAGAATTTAATAAGCCAAAGGAGTAGGAGACTATAATTTGTATTTTGGTAGACTATAATTTGTACAATGCTTTCCCACATGACTAGCAGACAAGTAAGAAAGAAACTAGGAAACAAAATCTCCATAAATTCTAACAAAGATAAATCACATAGGTCACATTCTAGTTTTTGTTGTTGTTTTTTGTTTTTTTGTTTGTGTGTTGTTTGAGACAGAGTCTTACTCTGTCGCCCAGGCTACAGTGCAATGGCGCAATCTCATTCAAGCGATTCTCCTGCCTCAGCCTCCTGAGTAGCAGGATTATAGGCACATGCCACCGTGCCCGGCTAATTTTTGTATTTTTAGTAGAGATGGAGTTTCATTCACCATGTTGGCCAGGCCAGTCTCAATCTCCTGACCTCAAGTGATCCGCCTGCCTTGGCATTCCAAAATTCTGTGATTACAGGCATGGGCCACGATGCCTGGCCATAGGTCACATTCTGTATGATAAAAGATGACATAAACAAAGCTTAAAGGCATGAAATAGATGGAGAGATGATACAACATAGAAAACAGATGGAAGTTAGTATCTATAAAGTATTTTTTAAATTCCTGCAAATATGAAAATAGAATAATGGGCCGGGTGCGGTGGCTCAAGCCTGTAATCCCAGCACTTTGGGAGGCCGAGGCGGGTGGATCACGAGGTCAGGAGATCGAGAAGCTGGTCCTGGCTAACATGGTGAACACCCGTCTCTACTAAAAATACAAAAAACTAGCCGGGCCGTGGTGGCGGCGCCTGTAGTCTCAGCTACTTGGAGGAGCTGAGGCGGGAGAATGGCATGAACCGGGAGGCGGAGCTTGCAGTGAGCTGAGATCATGCCACTGCACTCCAGCCTGGGAGCACAGTGAGACTCCCGTCTCAAAAAAAAAAAAAAAAAAAAAAAAAGAAAATAGAATAATGGACAAGAGATACAAGCAGGTAACACTCAGAAAAAAATATGAAAATAGGCCAGGCGTGGTGGCTCATGCCTATAATCCCAGCAGTATGGGAAGCTGAGGCAGGTGGATCACTCTGAGGTCAGGAGTTTGAGACCAGCCTTGCCAACATGGTGAAACCCCATCTCTGCTAAAAATACAAAAATTAGCCGGGCATGGTGGCAGGCGACTGTAATCCCAGCTACTTGGGAGGCTGAGGCAGGAGAATCGCTTGAACCTGGGAGGCGGAGGTTGCAGTGAGCAGAGATCGCACTATTGCCCTCCAGCCTGGGCGACAAGAATGAGACTTGGTCTCAAAAAAAAAAAAAAAAAAAGAAAATATCCTCAACCTAACTAACAGAGAAATGCAAACTAGGATAAGATAGTTTTGCACATCATATTGGCAAAATTTTTAGATTGATAATGGCCAGTATCATGTGGGGAAAAGGACCTTCTTGTGTGCTGTTGGCAGAAATTGTACATTGGTGCAGGAATATTCAATTTAGTAAGAAAGGTGTGCTCCCAGGAATGGGAGCACTCGAGGAGACAGCCTATATAAAGTTGTTATAGATGTGTCCCTTCTGAAATGCCTTCCCAGTACAATTGATTGCTCTAAAGACAAGAGTTTTTGGGGCAGACTCAGGGAGAAGGAAGGGCTCAGCCCCACGGATGTTCCAAGCATTAAACCTTTTGTCCATTACCTGGCTGTCTCAAAAAGCAGTCAATCACTGGGCGCGGTGGCTTATACCTGTAATCCCAGCACTTTGGGAGGCTGAGGGGGTGCATCATTTGAGGTTAGAAGTTTGAAACCAGCCTGGCCTACATGGTGAAAACCCCCTCTACCAAAATACAAAAATTGGTCGGGCGTGGTGGTGCGTGCCCATAGTTCCAGCTACTGGGGAGGCTGAGGCAGGAAGATTGCTTGAACCGGGGAGGCTGAGGTAGCAGTGAGCTGAGATTGTGCCTCTGCACTCCAGCCTGGGTGACAGAGCAAGACTCTGTCTCAAACAAAACAAAACAAAAACAGTCAACTTACAGCCAAACCCAGAGCCAAGGAACATTTCCGAGGATTCTGCCATTGTTGGGCACCTTCATGCACTATGTCCATGAGGAAGGAAAGAGCCTCCCTTTGCAGGAAACTGGCTCAACTTGGCCCAGATCTAATGCTGATAATTGGCAGAACCACTTCCCACTACACCATGATCATGCAGGTGTTCCTGTGAGTGTGATTTAGCTATTGGGTGTGAACTGAGAGGAGATTTTGAGAGGTGGGTGTCTCTTCTGACAAGCCTGCTTTTATTTTTATATTTCTGAGGGGGAGTATGGAGAGAGGGGAGGTTTTCAAAACTGCTTCTCTGAAACTGCGATAAGGCATGGTAGAAATCTAGCTGCATGGCGTAAGAAGCGCATGAAGGCCGGGTGTGGTGGCTCATGCCTGTAATCCCATCACTTTGGGAGGCTGAGGTGGGCGGATCACCTGAGCTCATGAGTTCGAGACCAGCCTGGGAAACATGGCAAAACTTCTTCTCTACCAAAACTACAAATAATTAGCTGGGAATGGTGGTATGCGCCTATAGTCCCAGCTACTCAGGAGGCTAAGGTGGGAGAATCAGCTGAGCCCTGAAGGTCGAGGCTTCAGTGAGCTGAGGTTGTGCTACTGCACTCCAGTCTGGGCAACTGGAATGAAACCCTGCCTCAAAAAAAAAAAAAAAAAATACATGAAATGAAAAGCACACAGGAGCGCAGGTGTTTCTTGGGCCACCGCCTCCTTTATGAGAATGCACTCTGTGCAAAGGGCCAACCCCGCCTAGGCTAGGGATGGTTCTGCCCCCTAGTGTTCACAGGGAGGCACAGCATGGCCTGCAGCCTCTCTCCCAGCTTGGTCCTCACTGGGGTGAGCTCCTGGAACATGAAGGACCACAGTAGTACAAAGAGTCAGCCATCCGAGGAGAGGGAGCCGTGCTCGCGTGGAAATTCCACACACTGTACTTGGAGGCAGGCAGACAGGGAAAGGCCTCGACTGGAAGAGTCAGTAGAGGATCCAACACCATGCTGCTGGCTTTTTTTTTTTTTTAAACAGTCTCGCCCTATTGCCTAGGCTGGAGTGCAGTGGCTTGATCTTGGCTCACTGCAATCTTCCTCTTTCAGGTTCAAGTGATTCTGGTGCCTCAGCCTCCCATGTAGCTGGAATTACAGGTATGCACCCCCATGCCCAGCTTATTTTTGTGCTTTTAGTAGAGACAGGGTTTTGCCATGTTGGCCAGGCTTGTCTCGAACTCCTGACCTCAAGCGATCTGCTTGCCTCAGCCTCCCAAAGTGCAGGGATTACAGGTGTGAGCCACTGGGCCCGACCCCAGCCAGCTGGCTTTCTAGCCTGCCTAACAGTCTGTGGATTAGAAAGCACAGTGGCATTGTAACCTTTCCCAGGAGGAAGCTGGCAGCCAGCACTCGTTCATCTAGAAAGCCCAGACATTTAGGAAGGTGGTGGCAAAGGAGAGCACTGTCTTACAAGTGCCGACACTCAGTGAGAGGGAGCGGGGCTTCAGGACCTGGCAGCAAGTAGGCACTGGGCACTTCGTCTTCCCTGCTAGATTCTCAACTTCTCCAACTTAAGGCCCAGGTCGCTGTTATTTATGCATAGTGCCTAGCATGTGGAAGATCTCCCTCTTTTTTTTTTTTTTTTTGAGATGGAATCTCGCTCTCTGCCGCCCAGGCTGGAGTGCAGTGGCGCAATCTCGGCTCATTGCAAGCTCCGCCTCTGGTCTCACACCCATTCTCCTGCCTCAGCCTCCTGAGTAGCTGGAACTACAGGCGCCCGCACCAACATCCGCGCTAATTTTTTTTTTTTTGAGACGGAGTCTCCGCTCTGTCGCCCAGGCTGGAGTGCAGTGGCCGGATCTCAGCCCTCACTTGCAAGCCACCTCCCGTTTACGCCATCTCCTGCCTCAGCCTCCCGAGTAGCTGGGACTAATTAGCTGGGGACTACAGGCACCCGCCACCTCGCCTGGCTATTTTTTGTATTTTTAGTAGAGAACGGGTTTCACGTGTTAGCCAGGATGGTCTTGATCTCCTGCACCTCGTGATCCGCCCGTCTCGGCCTCCCAAATGCTGGGATTACAGGCCTTGAGCCACCGCGCCCGGCCGGCTAATTTTTTTTTTTTGTATTTTTAGTAGAGACGGGGTTTCACCACGTTTAGCCAGGATGGTCTCCGATCTCCTGACCTCATGATCTGCCCACCTTGGCCTTCAAAGTGTTAGGATTTACATGGCGTGAGCCACCACACCCCAGCCAGATCTTTTTTTTTTAGATGGAGTCTTGCTCTGTTACAGCCCAGGCTGGAGTGCAATGGCCGACTCAGCTCATGCTAAGCCCCCTTCCACGGGATTTAGGCCAATTTCTCCTGACTCTAGCCTACTGAATAGTCGGGACTACAGAAGCGGCTCCCGCCACCTCGCCGCCTAGAATTTTTTGATATTTATATTTAGTAGAAGACGAGCGGATTGCCACCATCGTTAGCACAGAGATGGTAGTTAGTCGATCTCCCTCGACCTCGTTGATTCGCCCGTCTCGGCCTCCCAAAAGTGCGTGGGTAATTACAGGCTGAGCGCACCACGTCCGGCCCCCTTTTTTTTTTTTTTTTTTTTTTTTGAGAGGGAGTTTTGCCTCTTGCTGCCCAGGCTGGGGTGCAATGGTGGTGATCATCAGCTCACTGCAACCTTCTGCTTTTCTCCGGTGGAGTGATTCTCCTGCCTCAGCCTCTGAAGTAGCTGGGATTACAGGCGCCTGCCACCATGCCCAGCTAATTTTTGTATTTTTAGTAGAGACGGTTTCGCCATGTTGCCAAGGGTGGTCTCGAACTCCTGACCTCAAGTAATCTGCTCTCCTCGGCCTCTGAAAGTATTGGGATTATAGGCACGAACCACCGCGTCCTGTCAATAAAGCCTTTTTCCATCTGGACTCTTCTTTTACATTCACAGCAGCCCAGTGTGGTCAATAGGGTCCCAAGATAGAGAGGAGACTTTGATGCGCAAAGAGGAGGCTCTCTTAAAATGACAGGGACTCCACCTCTTTCCCTGAGACAAGATTGCCTGGAATTTCCAGGACTCTTGGCCCTCGGCTGTTTTGTAAGATGTCCATGTGGGCCTTGCCCTCTGTGCTTTTTCTTTTTGGCTGTGAAGAGGAGAGAGGGCAGGAGAACCCAGCAGTGGGGCTGGCGCCATGAGCAGAGCGTCCAGGCTCAGGGCATTGGGGCGGCCTCCTGAGAGGCAGCAGCTACATGGGAAAGAGATAGTGCTGACGGCTGGAGGCTACACAGGCCAGGAGCCTCCTGAGTGTGATGGGACTTACTGTCCTCCATGGTGCCTCTGCCTGCCCCTCCCTGGCACGTTCTGATAAATGGAAAGGCGGGTTTGAGGAAAGGACAGGCTTTTCCATCTCTTGAGGGAAAAGTGGGACATGAAAGCCAAATGGGAGCAGGAAGAGAACAGCCTGACCCAGGGACGAGCTGCTTTCCTCTCCGCAGCGCAGCTTTGAGCCCAGGGGACATGGAGAAGGACTGGGCTGTCACCTTGCCCAGAACTCTTGGTGGGAGACAAGACCTCCTGAACTGGGTGGTCCCGGGGAAAATGGGCTGGCTCAGAGAACCCAGTGGGCGCCTGTCATGCCACGACTCCAATCCATCACCACCGCCATCTCCATCTCCTCTCCTGCCCCTCCTGCTCTGTCTCACCTCAGCTCTCCCTGTTGTATTTTCCACAACTGCCCAGGGAGCAGCCAGGGAACTCCATTTGGTGCCGTTCCACTGGCACCCACCAGTCAGCCAAACAGCCTCACAGACGTGGGCAGCTTCCTGGGACCCGGGGTGCCCACTGCAGGTGTTCCTAGCAGGTAGGTATGGACAGTGGGCAGTCTGCTCTAGGGCAGGAGAGCCGCCCGAAGCCTGGCCTTGCTCCTCCCAGCCCCATCAGCATCTCCTGGCGGTTCTCCCTTCCCCTCCTCTCCCTCACTCACCCTGAAGAGCAAGGTGGGTTGGCATCTCCTGGCCCCTCACTCAGGTTTGATTGGCCCTGGCAGCTGTGCATGACTTCTCTCTCCCCGTGTCGCAGCCTTTTCGGGATGGCCGGCCAGGTCCCCCCACTCCAGTCTGTCACGATGGGCAGCAGCAGCAGCACAGGGCTGGCCTTTGGAGGTGAGTCCTGCCTGTGGAGACCCAGGGGAGGGGACCTGAGGCCAGGAGGAGTCTGGGGACTCTGGACAGGGTGGGAAGGGGATAGATTGAGAGGAATGCTTAGGCATCACAGGATGAAGCAAGTGAGAAAAAAAGTAACCATCTCTCTCTCCCTCTGCTCCCCATTCCACCTGGGCAGCCTTCACCAACCCTTTTGCAGCTCCCGCCGCCCAGCCCCCACTGCCTTCCACCAACCCATTCCAGCCCAATGGCTTGGCGCCAGGTAAGCCTCCAGCACGGTCCCTTGTCCTGACCGTCTGAGACTCCCAGGGCTCACATTACCCTGCAGTCTCTCACTTAACCCTTTGTCTCACGCTGTCGGGAGAAGCAGACAGCCTGGTTCTTCCCCTGCCCACACGGTGCCAGGCCACCTAGCACCCAGGTCACAGAGCCAGAGTTTAGAATTAGAAGCACACAGGCAACTACTTACCAGAGACCGCACTGAAGACTGTTTTAAAGTTGACCAACAGTGGCAACGATTCTCCTGTCTCCAGCCCTCGGCAGTGTCCCTTTGGGCACCCAGCCCCAGTCTCTTCTGTGCCCCGAAGATTAAGCCACCTGAAACACTCACGCTGTTCCCTGCTTCCATCAGTTCCAGGCCTGTGGTCTCCTCTCACCCCAGCCCTCCCCAGCCTCTGCTGCTCTCCCTTCAGACTCATGCTGGCTGAAGCCTCGAGGCCGGGGAGAGAGGAATAAGAGTGAATGCAGCAGAGCTGTGTGGTGGCCCTGATTTAATCTTCACAGCAGCCCTAGGAGACGGACTGTCCCCATTTTAGAGATGAGAGAACTAAGGCACAGACAGCGTTAGAAGTTTGCACCGTTTTTGCAGTTTAGCAGGTAGTGGGAGGCTAGCCCAGTCCTGCACCATGCCCGTGCCTGGAACCACTATGCCCTCCCTGCCACACACCCCTGGGCAGGGAGAGGGCAGGGTTGTTTGTTGGTGTGAGAAGCAGAAGAGTTCCATGGCTGGTTCAGGGTATTTCTGCTGGGTCCCTCACTTCTCATGTCAGGAAAGAACTATATCCCATTTTCCCATCTTGGAGGGACTTAGGAAAAACAGTTCTCCAGCCCACCTTCCAGAAGTTCACCCGAACCTCTCATTTCTCACTTCATAGGGCCAGGCTTTGGGATGAGCAGTGCTGGGCCTGGCTTCCCCCAGGCAGTGCCACCCACCGGGACCTTTGCCAGCTCCTTCCCAGCACCGCTGTTCCCCCCGCAGACCCCGCTGGCTCAGCAGCAGAATGGTAAGAGCTGCAAATGGACAACCCCTTTCACCCCGTCCAGTCTCTGCATAGAGATCAGTTAGTTGTCCCTCCGACCTCATCAGAGCCCATGCAGTGCTGTTTCTGACCAGCAGGGGGGGACCAGGGAAGCGCCAGACCTGCCCGGGTACTTCCACTGCTCCCTTCCCTTACTCCCCCAGTTTAGGAGGGCCTCCCTTGCTGTCTGCCTGCAGGAAGGTGGGCTGGTGTCAGCTGAGTGACTGCTCTCGCCCCCCAGGCTCTTCCTTCGGGGACTTAGGATCAGCCAAGTTGGGGCAGAGGCCACTGAGCCAGCCAGTTGGGATCTCCACCAACCCCTTCATGGTGAGTACCCCAGCAGGGGTGCTGTGGTACAGTGAGTGGGCTTTCCCTCTGGGACAATCCTTCCAGAAGAGGCTGATGTGAGGTGGCCCCTGCACCCCTTCCTCATGAAGGTCTGCGTTGTCCAAGCTTGGGCCTCAGCTCTTCTGGGCGCTGGCATCTCCCATGCCATTCCATCCCTGTCCTTGGCTCCCTTCTCCCTCACTTTCCTTTTTTTTTTTTTTTTTGAGACAGTCTTGCTCTGTCTCCCAGGCTTGACTTCAGTGGCCCAATCTCGGCTCACTGCAACTTCCACTTCCTAAGTTCAAGCAATTCTCCTGCCTCAGCCTCCTGAGTAGCAGGGACTACAGGCGTGCACCACCACACCTGGCTAATTTTTGTATTTTTAGTAGAGATAGGGTTTTCCCATGGTGGCCAGGCTGGTCTTGAACTCCTGACCTCAGGTGATCAGCCCACCTCAGCCTGCCAAAGTGCTGGGATTACAGGTCTGAGCCACCACGCCTGGCCTCTTCTCCCTCACTTTCCCACTGCCCTCAGCATAGCGATTTTTCAGGAGAAAGGACTCCTGGCTGCCTTTCTTCTAAGCTTCCAGCTCCTCTCTAACTGGAAAATGTGTTGTTCTTTCTTTCCAGACTGGACCTTCATCAAGCCCATTCGCCTCCAAGCCTCCAACCACCAACCCCTTCTTGTAGCACTGTGTTTTTGGGGGACCTCTTCCCTGCCTTCTGGGGCCCTCTGCTCCCTAGAGCTCTGGTGACCACTTACCTGTGGGCGTTTCTATGGGCCTTGGGGATGGTGGAGGTGCTAATGCTTTGCTTGGGGCCTACAGGTGAAAGGTGGCTGTCCTCAGATTCCACAAAGCCTCTGCTCCCCTCCCTCGTCCCACCCCCACCCAGGCAGGAAGCCCAGGAGGAGTGCGGGCAGGGCCTGGCCTGGAGGAGTGATAGTTGAGGGGAGGGATTTTTTTCAAATGATCAGTTAGGACAGCTCCCTGCTCCCCTGCTCTCACTGCACAGTGCTCCCCCACTCCCAGCCCTGTGGGTGGAGGACATTGCGAGCACAGACTGGCCAGCCTTACCCCGTGGGAACAGCTCTTCCCTTGGCCCAGCTCGCCAGCGCTGTGCTCCTCGTGGATGGGAGTGCAGTGGGGAAGGTAGGGGAAACACGAGGCACAGTGTTGACGGGGCAGTGACCAGACAGTCCCGGGAGCCAGAAGGCCCAGGTGGCCCAAGTGCTCTTGGTGGCCCAGCTTGGCCAGCACATACTTTCCTCCTGCAGCACCCCCTGCTGAAGGGGTCCCCCATTGTTTTGCTTCCCCAGCGCCCAGGATGAGCGGTTTACCTTTGAGCTCACCCGGGCCCAGCTCCTGTCAAGCACTTTAGTTAGCTGTTGGTGTCATGTTTGGATACCAGTGTTTTATATTTATACATAGAGAGGATTTTCTAATATAGCCTATTATATATAAATAGATCTATCTATATGCACATACATATATACACACACCCAGCCGATCTCCCGCTCCCAGACTGCTCTCATATGTGGGGAATGGGATGAATCCCCAACTGTGCCTCGACCATCAAAGCCGGAGCTCTAGGGCTGGAGGGGGGCAGCTATGTGTCCTGACCCTCACCATTCCCAGAGCCTGGGTTTTCCAGGGAAAGGCTTTGTGCAATTGCCTGGTCTTTTTTTTTTTTTCTCCATGTGCCTCCCCATCCCCAAATCTCTGCACCAAAGCTCATTGCAGGCAGTGTTAGAAAAGAACTGCATTTGAACGAAAGAGAAAATGGCTCTCGTGGTTTTGCTTCAGGGCACTTTGAAGGGTTGCAGGTCAGTCAACGTGACTGATCCTTGACCTGGCTCTGCTGGGCTGGACTGCCCGGGCCAGTGATGCTGCTGCCATTGGCCAGAGACAGGGCACAGCTGGTCCCTGTCTAAACAAGAGTCCTGCATTAGCAACGAGAAGAAGCATGGCGGGAGAGGGGCCGCCACTGCCGGGGACTGGAGTTTGTTTGATGTGAGGGGAATGCCCACTTGGGGTCAGGGTGGGCAAAGGAGGTTGGTGCCAACGTGGAGGTGGAAGTAGGCCCCTCCTGGGTCTGGGACATTCTCTGCCCCAGGCTCTTTCCACCTGGGGATGTTGTGGCAACAGCCGTGGTGTCTGGGCTATTTGTGCTGACAAGACAGACCTGGTCAGGGGGTGGGTGGCAAACACCTCACCTGGCTGGGCAGAGGCCGCCTTGCTGTTTGGCCCGAGGCCAGGAGAGGCCCCTCCCTTTCCACCATTGCCCTGGCCCCGTGGCCGTTCATTCTTGGGGTTTGTCTGGGTCTTCCACAGAGAGCAGCAAAGAGATATGGGAATTGGGTGACTGGTGTATTTACTTTGAAGATTTTTCTGGAAATACCTCTAGCTGCTGCTATTTTCTAGGCCGGGCTTGGCATCCCTGTCTTTTCCAAAAATCAGGACCCATCTTTTCTGTTCCTGTTCTTCTCCCAGCCTCTGCCCTCCTTCTGTCTCCTGGGTAGTCTCCGGCTTCGCTCCCTGACCTTTGCTTGTTCCATCTCTTCTCTTTCTCCCCTCTTTGCCACCCTAGATTATTTCTGTGTCCCTCTACCTAATACTCTTACCAGTTCTTTCCTTTCTGCTTAGAGCTGGAGGGAGGGCAGCTGGAATCTGTTATGGTGTATTAGGGGGAGGAGCCTTTCTGTTCTTCCCCCACCAGCTTCCATCACCCTTGCCTTATGCCAGGAGCACCGAGGTTTGGAACTGAGGCTAAACCGAAGGGCTTTCCCCCGCTTCTGTCACCCCATACTGTGTCCCGGCATCTCTTCACTGTCTGGGTCCAGACCCGGGTCCTCCCTGCAGACTCCCTCCCCTCCAGCCCACAAGGACTCCAGCCTGCTCGCTGCCAGAGCTAGATGAGCAGTAAGAAGTTAACGCCAGGTCAGCCTCAGGCCCTAGGGTTCTCTGGGCACAGGCTGACACTAGGAGCTGCCCTCCTTGGCTGGGGCAGCCTCAGCAGCTCAGGCTCCAGCACAATGAGCCGCCTCTCCTGGAGAGTAGCAAAGAATGGAGAAAGGCCTGGCCTGAGAGGAAATGGAGAAAACATTGCCTGGTAGCTGCAGATTCAAACCCACTGCACACACCACGGGGCTACAGTGGCTTGCCTGGGCTCACACCAGTCTTCTGACCGTGCTCTGCTGACAGCAGTCCTCTAGCATGGCTCCAGCATTCAGCCAGGCACCTGTGGGCCATCCCCATGTGTGAGGAAGCAGGAGTCAGCCCCCAAGTGTCTCCACATTGGAGCTTGCAGGTCAGACCTGCGGGCCAGGAGATGGGAGCAGGGCTGAGGGTAGGGGCTGAAGGTGTGGCTCTGTCCCTGTGTTGCCTTCCACAGAGGAGCAAGGCCTCAGGCTGAGGAAGGAAGGGCACGCTGGAACAGCCTAGTCTCTTCCCTGTGGATTCCCCCAACTCCATAATATTCCTCCATAGGGGCTGAGAACGCAGTGCCCCGTCCCTGACGGATGAAAAGTGTACCCTTCAGGTTGGGAGAGGCAGAGCTGAGGTTCTGCCACTTCCTGTCCCTGGGGAGCCACTCAAGTTACCAGGGTTACCAGCTGAAATATTTTCAGGGTAGGGCCAAGGGCAGTGTGTTGCCAAGGCAACTGATGTAGGCCAGTTGCGTGACTCCAGGCTTGTCCTGGTACTCAGTGGGTCCGATCACCTGGCATTGATCACCTGGCATTTATCAGCACCCACCCCACCCCTGAGGCTTGCCCAGACACCAGACCCTCAGATCCCTGCTCTTCCTGCCTTTCCTGCCCATGCATCACCTAGCACCCAAGGTTCAGTGACAGGGTGGTTTGGAGCTGGTCACTGTCATAGCAGCTGTGATTTCACAAGGAAGGGTGCTGCAGGGGGACCTGGTTGATGGGGAATGGGAAGGGGAAGGTATAAAGAGATCTTCCTCAGGTATCTTCAAGCCTCAGGGAGTAAAAAAGGCTCCTGGGCCAGGAGTGCAGCAGGGACAGGGGCCCTTTGGTGGCCTCCTTGAGGCAGCAGCAGGACTGGGAGGGGGAGGGGCATGCACATGTCTTTTGTGACCCTGCCCCTTTGCACATGGTGCCTGTATCAAGGCCCTTGGCCATGTGGGGCTATGGCCTTGAACACAGTCCAGTTTTGGTGGCCATTTACGGAGCCATCGCCTCTCTGTGGCCAACACCTACCACTGGGCAGTTGCCAAGCCCCGCCCCATGCCCCCCCCCCACCGCCCCACACCACACCGCCTGTGCTGCGAGCCTCTCCTGCACCCCAGTGGGGCTTTGGCTTACCAGGGGTCACCTGGAGCAAGCCTGCATGCTGGCTGGGTGCTGGTCGGTTCCCTGCATCTCCCTCTCAGTGTGACCTTGGAATAGGTGTGCGAGGACCCCAGCTCCATGTACACAGCACTTGTCTCCCATATTCCCACTCACGTGGGGCCCCTTCCCCAGGAAGCAGGAAGCATGGTGGGAAGCCCTGCCCGCCCTGCTCAGGCTGCCCTGGCCCTTGCACTAGGTCTGGGTCCTTGCTTCTGTTCTCTTGTTATGTCTTTGTCATATCTTGTCCCTTGCCTGAGGGAGCTCCTCCCTGAACGCCATCTTTATGGGGGCTGCACGTTGGCCTCTCCTCCCTGACTCTCAGCTTCCCCCTTTAGGCACCTTAGTCGCCTTGGGTGATATCTCAGGGTCCTCTAAGTTCCCGCCAGGTGTCACCTGCTGGTTTGTCTTGTGCACCTTCACCCCCATCCCCCTGGGGGGGGTGGTCAGTGGTCCTTGGATCAGAACTGAGTGCAAAAATGTCCAGTCCCCAGCCCAATCGCAATTTTTTCAAGAAGCAAAGGGTACCTCCACCAGGAGGTCCACACATCCATGGTCAGAGCCTTCAGGTGGTCCTGGGGTGGCATTTTTGGGCAATGGTGGTGAGGAGGGACCCAGAGCAATGGGGCAGCCCGAGGAGGTCTTCCTGAGAGATGGCCTCTTCCTCCGAGGTCTCCTTCAGTGGCCACCTGACTGGGTTCCAGCAGGTATGGTCTGTGCACAGGGACTACCCCCTGAACCTACTTATTCCAAGTCACCTCCTATCACCCCCAACCCTCAAGAAACTGAATCTCCAGCTCAGAAATAATCCAGCGTAGTGCTCAGTGATGGTGGCTCCTTGGGTTACTTGGAAGGGCACAAAACCACTCCTGGATGGGAAGGGGTTACACACAGGAAGGACACCTATAGGCCGAGGGGGGCGCGGCAGGAGCCGGCAGGGTGCTGGAGGCCCCGCTCCACCGCCCTCTAATCGCCAGCGCCACCACCGCTGCCACAAGTCCGATCACACTGGCCTCACACGGAGGCTTTCTCGGTTGCCCGGACGACGTGTCCGGACCGCAGTCAGCTGATCGGTAGAGACGCCCCCACGCTCCCTGCCCCTGTAAAGGCTCAGTCTTGGCGTCGAGGCCGCCTCTCTTGGACTTCCCTACTCAAATTCCAGCGCCCGGGCGACGTGAGGATTCGTCTCGTGGGGTGGGGGCTCAGGAGCGGTCGGCTGAGGGAGGGAGGTAGTGGGGAGCCCAGGCCACGGGCAGCAGCCACTGGGACACTCGCTGTGCGCAGAGCCCTTGCCCCAAACTTCCAGTCAGGAGCCCAGGAGAGACGCTGGACATCAAGACGCTGGACTCCCTGCCCGAGTTCACCAACTCACCCCCACCCCTGCTGGCCTCTCCCCGCGCTCAGGACACGAGACCCAGCCATCTCTGCCTCTCCGGCAGTCACTTTATTGCCTTCGGCCCTGAATGAAGCCCACGAGCGGCGGCCCCGGGGAGAGCCGGGAATGGCCGCCATGCCCCTCAGCCAGCCGCTGCCCTGGGCCTGCCCTGCAGACGTGCGACTCTGCCGCCACCTGCGCGCAGACCCGCCGCGTCCCGAGTCTTCTGAGAGCGATCAGAAGTTTCGGGCGGGCAGGGCGCGGCCCCAGCTCAGCCTAAGCCTGGCGGGCGCGTGCACCATCAACAAGCGCGCAGACGCGCCAGCACCACCTGATCCTCCTCTACACCCACGACAACAGCCTGCGCGTGGCGGCGGCAGGCGAGGCGGAGCAGCAGGCGTGATACAACGCCCTGCTCGAGGCGCGCGGTGCCGCCCGAGCCCTGGGTTGTGGGGGACCCCGGGGCCTTGTGGCTGTGGTTTCTCCGTGGCTCGCCCCTGCCCCAGGTCACCGAAAGTTCAAACATTAAAGGGTTTGCATGTTTAGAGTTCTCCCGGCACAGGCCCGGCGCGGTAGCTCACGCCTGTAATCCCATTACTTTGGGAGGCCAACGCGGGCGTATCGCCTGAGGTCAGGATCGCCTGAGGTCAGGAGTTCGAGACCAGCCTGGCCAACATGGTGAAACCCCATCTCTACTAAAAATACAAAAATTAGCCGGGCGTGGTGGCACATGTCTGTAATCCCAGCTACTCAGGAGGCTGAGGCAGGAGAATCGCTTGAACCAGGGAATCGGAGGTTGCAGTGAGCCAAGATCAGCCACTGCACTCCTGGGTAACAGAGCTAGACTCCGTCTCAAAAAAAGAAAAAAAAAAGTTCTCCGGGCACAATGAGGCCCAGGCGCTCAGGGACCCTCCTATGAGCATCTTCAGACTCCCTATCCCTGAGACCCCGGCTTCTGTGGCCCAGTCAAGTGGCCTGAGCCATCAGGGGTGTCTGCGAGAGGGAATCGAGCAAGCAGCCCTCCAGACCTTGGCAAGGCTGGGTGCAGCAGCCTCCTACCCCAAGGGGCAGGGTGGGGGCTACATAACCAAGGGAGTGGGGAGTGACTACGAGCCCATGGGGACCATTCCTACAAGTCTGGGCTCAGGAGCCTGCACCCAGGCCAAGGAGCGCCCATCACGATGTGGGGGCTGGCTGGGGACGGGTAGGGGCTCAGCGCTGCTCCTGGCCCCCTTGGAGCTGGCTGGGGAGGAAGTGTGCATCAAGTTATCCGCCCGAGAGCCTCCGAACAGTCACCGCCAGGCCAGAGCCCCTGACGAGCTGCCTCAGCTATGTTGACCTGGACCTGGTCCTTTCTCTGGGGGCACTTGGTGACGTCCCCAGGGCCTGCACGCTCCGCCCTCGTAGCTACACAGGCATTGAGTTCTAGAACTCCCCGGAGGCGCCGGTGAGGAGACCTGAGACCCAGGCAGCTCTCTACTGCTGACTGATTGGGGGGTGGTTGAGGCAGGGATAGGAGGGAGTGGTATTGTAATGCCCCCCACCCTGCCTCCTAACCCCCCACCACGGGAGAGGCTTTAAGACCCAGATGCCACCTCGGACAAGTGACCTGCAGGGCAACAAGCTGGGGTCTCTGCCCGCTCTGTCCCTTCCAGCTGTGGCACCTAAGTCTTGAGTAGGAGGTTCTCCAAGAAGTTGGGCTATTTTATGGGAGAAAATTCTAGAACCCATCCCCGCCCAAACCACCAAAACTACACACTTCTGGGCTTTCTCAGCTGAAGCCCTGATCCTCTGTTTCTCTGCAGAGTTCGTGCAAGAATCTCGAGAGTCTCAGGTCGGCTGTGGCGGGGCCACCTTTCTGCCAATGGTGACATTCATGTGGACCGGCACCCTCCCCCACACACCTGCAGTGCGTTCTGTGTCTCCTCTGAGCCAAACAACTACCCCACCCAGCCCAGAACTGAACTCCGGGAGCCCCAGCACAAGAGGTGTGGGAGCACCAGGGATCTTACCGCTAGTGCCCCCTAAAAGTGAGGTGCCCCTACTTACTCCCCCACCTGGCAGTTTATGGCTCCTTGTTTCCTATAAATTCAGCTCTGCACTGCCATGCAGACCACCCACTCATTCATTAAAGGGGCTCTGTCTGGTCAGCCCAGAAACGCCTTAGGTCATGGATACCCCCGTCCTCCACCTAACACAGCAGGGGGTGATCTGTAGTGGGACAGAAAGAGACCCCATTCCTGCCTCTATGCCCTACTCTGCTCCCAGCCACACGGAGCCTGTTTTGCAAACCAACACTGCTTTATTGTCAACACAACCAGCCCATTCTGCCCCGAGAAGGCTATGGACAATGGGTGTCTGGGGTCTGTGGGAGAGAGAGGTCAGCACCCTGAGAACTGCTGGGGCTACCACAGGGGCTTGGTGGGTCAGAGGTAGGGTCTGGGGGGCCAGCAGGGGGCGTGGCAGCCACGGAGGAGCTGGGCCTGGGTTCCCCCTGGCTCATCTGCAGTAGGCCAGTGAGAGCGATCAGCTCCGGCCCACTGAGCCAGGCGGTGGAGGGGCTCCGGGAGGGTGACAGGCGGGGGAGGACCCAGGCAGACATAATGGGGGGCGGCGGCAGCAGTTTCAGGGAGCCCATCACCTGAGGAGAGAGAATGGGATGTGTTTCCTGCCAGGCACGCCTGGAGGCTGGGGTAAGGCCAGGGAGGGGGAAGAGCTCTCACCTGCTGGGGGGCCTTGGACAGGTACAGGGGGACACGCTGCCCCTGGGGCAGCAGAGGGTCCGAGAGGAAGACATCTTCACAGCACATCACCGGGAACCCTAGAAGGAAACACCACTGGGGTGGCAGGCTGTGGGCTCCCACCCCTGGGCACTGGTTCCGGGAGGAGTTGGGGCAGCCTTGCACCCCCAGAGGACCAAGGGAGGTACCTGCATCTGGGTGCGCCTGCTGTCCATTCCAATGCCCTGTGGCAGGGGCCACGGACCTGAGACCCCTGCCCGAGGCTGCCTCATACAGCGGCCAGAACGAGGGGTGACACAGCGTCCGGCCTGAGAACGAGGCTCCTGAGCCACAGTTGGCCCCCTAGGGTGAGGAGGACAGACCACTGGAGCCTCAGGCCACCCCGCAGCTCCCTGAACACCCCAGCCAGCCCCACAGGTTTGCCCTCAACTCACCCACACCGGCTGAGGGCCCGCTTTCGCTTCGTACTTGGGGTCCCAGGGCGCTAGTGGAGTCATCCTTGAG